GCTGTGCACTATTTCAAAATTCCATGGTGACATCGCGTGATAAAAGAAGGAATGCGTGAAATTGCGTGACGAACAATTCGCGATCATAACTTTGTCCAGTTCAAATAAGTTAGATTTTTTCTTGGGGGAGGGGGGAGGGCACGAATTTTCGCTGTTCAATATTTTAACATCGCGTGACAGAAGCAAAAGATTGTGTGACAATTTTATACTTTGTCTGAGAGAAATAAATGAATGTCAGAGATATCGTCTATCGTCTATCGTCCAGAATCCACCGTCTGGGTTTTAGCACATGCCAAGAATTTTGGCGGGCTTTGGACTGAAATACTCCGACTAAAAATAGAGATCAAATTTTCTTGATTGACATTTCCCTTCAAATCTTGGCATGAAAATTGACAAATCTGTCATATTTCACGCCTGACAAAAACTTGTCCTGCTCCGAGGCAGGACGACGGCGTCTTTGAAGTTCAGTAAGCCTTGACAAAATTTGGTAGATCTAAAAGTCACCGGGCGCACTTGTCTCAACGAACTGGTGACAGATTTTTTCGCAAAATAAACAAAAATTTGCTCAGTGCGTCCGGGCCCATAGTTCTGAATAGGTCTGAACGGATATCCGGGATATCCCCAACGATAAATTAAATTAAGCGACTCGAAAGTTCAGCAGGGTGCTATTTTTGTTGACCTAAATTGCGTGACGGAAGTGAACAATGAAAGAACGTCTTATTCGAATACATTTTTTACCCCCGGGTTTTTACCTTGTTTTGCATGTCTCGCATGTTGGTGAAAAGATTCAAACATCTGGCGAGGGAGTGTAGCTCAGAAATTTGCGTTAAACAGTTTTGTGTTTTTGAAGCTCATTGCAAAACTAAGACTGTGCTTAGATGCAATGGTGACGTGACAAAACAATGGCTTGCATTGAGGTCGAAGGTCGGCCATCGTATCGTGAGATAAACGTAAACATTTTGGCGCAAAAATTATGTTTTAGAGCGGTCGAAAGATTCCAGCTATGTCCATGTTTCGCAGCTTTAAGCTTCCTCAGCTGTTACGAAAAGGGTCACATTTACGCAGTATTACATCGGTTTACGTCGGGGAAAAAAACTAGGAAAAAGCTAGGCCACGCTTCCATCTTCGTTTACTGCAAGGTCTGTCTTCGTTTTCTAGGGGATCACAACGCGCGTGATTCGATTAAATGTCGTATTCAGTGCTAATTTCGCCGACAATTTAAATCGGGGTCTTAGGACTCACGTCTTCGTTTTTTGAGGATCTCTTTTGAGTTTCTGGCAAGACTTGTTACGACGACTTCCACAAGGTCTTCGTTTTCGAGGGGGTCTTCGTTTTCGAGGGGTCTTCGGTCTTCGATTTCTAGCCACCCGTGCGCGGGCTTATGTAAATCAAAACTGTCAATCATTTTGCATTGCTGTAAATCAAATGCAAGTCAGAATGCTCGGCTAATCGGCCGTGTGACAGAAATACTTTTTAACATCCAAAATACCACACAAAGAAGAAAATGAATCACCTCCGAATTCAAAGATTCGAGAGACTGATCCTGGTTTCACTTCGATTCGGTACATGACGTTTTACATGTGCTAACCGTCGAAAAGTTTGTGCTCATTTGACTGCCAAATTTCTTTGTAAACGAAAGCCCTCTATATTTTGGAGACGGCAGAAATAATGTAGCATTCTTCATCGGCAAAATTCGACTTCGAACCCCGATAGAGCGGGTAGTTTTTGGCGACTGCTCGAGGTTTTTGAAACCTACAAAGTTTGTCACAGCAACAATCAAAACACTCTGCCACCCCTCCCGCCTAACAGATTTTTTTTTTTTTTTCTACCACCCAGACTCTGGGTGGGCACGTGACCAGCCGCAAACTAGGGTCTTTCTTCCAACGACCAAGGGAGGCAGAGGAGAGAGAGCCTGGGGACGAGGTTGCGAGCTGAGCGGCAAAACCAAATTTCAATGTGGCATAATCGTTCTCTCAGTAAGTAAAATGGCAATTTTTCGCAATCGGCCGGATATTTTTAACGTTTTATTTGGCCACGATAAACTAAATTTTGTCTTCTTTCTCGTCATGTCAGTTTTTTACTAAATGTGGTCATTTCTTCGTCGCTGAATTCCACAGGAGTCATCGTTTGCGTGGAAATAATGAATTCCAGGTAGGTTGCACTCAATTCAAGTATCCTACTCTCCTAGGTAGGCTACACCAAGAGAAAAGCGCAATGACAGTTTTCTAGACGTAGGGGACGTGGTGGAACCTAATTAACAGAAGCGCATTTTTTCAAATTTACCGTTGCCAAACACTCGAGAATACTTGTACTTGAGAGCTGTAAATCGTATCACTTCAAGAATAGACCCACGCACATAACGCGCTTTGCGGAACTTTCATGCCGATCGACACTAACACAAATTCTTTTTATTTTTTGCATATGACTCAAACTGACACCATAAAATATGTTACGATTGGTTAAGAACCTTGAACATGTGTTCCCTAAGCACTCCCTTAACTAATAAACGCTTCGTTACAAGCAGGCCGTGAATCCCTTAAAAACTAAGCAATAGGATAGTTTTAACGGCGATTCAGTAATTTGGACATCTTCAGTTATAATCAAATTTATTTTCCGTTTCAGCGGTATTAGATGTCAGCAAAACTAAGTTCCAATACCACCCCCTCCCCTCCCCCATCCCATGAGGTCAAGCATGCACCTTTAATTTCTTCAAACCTTCTCATTTGCCCTGTTTGCAGATCAAGTGCATTATCTTTTAATCCCTGTCATATTGGCAACTCATTTTGAAAGGTTACTCATACATTTTGCATTATTTTTCAGTTAGCTTTCCCTATATAATCTTACATCAAGACATTTCAATCCCTAAGGGAATGTGAGAACACTAGCAATTCTTACGGTTCTCTCTTATAGAGTTTAATTTTAATTTATCACTCTTTCAATATGCCATCTTTTAAAAAAACAAACTGTTCGTAAACAGTAGTGAAATTTCATGCCCCTACACCTAGCCATTATCAGAAGTGGGGGGAACAGGCAATCGCAACAGTGACACTGCCAGGCTGGTGAATTTTACAAGCTAATGAAGTCATGTCTGACAGTGAAGCATGGTGCGTGGAACTAAAGAATCAGACTGTTAGTTAGTGACACTGGTAGTGTTAGTGTTGTGAGAGTGATGCTAGCTAGTGTCTGTGAACGCAGACCTGATCAGCAAAGAGGTTCCGTGCTAGAAGTTGACATAGAGCAGCAAGTTTGTGCTCAAAAACTGAAGAGGCTGGCTCAGACCTGTCTCAAGGTCAGTTTTCATCACTTCTTGTCAAGAGTTCCGACTTGTGTATGTGGGAATTTTAAATACTCCCTGTAATGACCTACAAGGCCTCTAGAGGCGCACCTCAAAATGAATAACTTTTTCAGTCTTCAGGTATACATGTAATTATAAAATGATAGGGATTTCACAAGTTGAGGTGTATGAAAGGGTAGAGAAATCTGTCGTTTAAGGATTTACATTCTTCTGATTCTAAAATGTTGTTGAAAAACTGGCATTTACTCTCCTCAGCCAGAATGAGGAGATTCTGCAATATTGTTTATTAACTTCTTTCCAAGGGAATAGAAAAGGGATGCAGTATTCTTAAATAGGTTTGTAATCTTTTCCAATGAAAGGTCTTCAAAAGAGGTGCCTTTTCTATCAAAATGGTACAAAAGGGTAAGGGGTAATGGACCTTGAGATGGAGCCTAGCCTCCTCATTGAAAACTTTGTAGAATACCCCCCCCCCCGGCCCTTATGTGACAAAGATGTTCAAACTATTGTTTTGTGGAAAAGGCAATCATTAAAAAGCAAAACAGTGTGCCAAATATGGTGAAGATATAAGCATTGAAGATTTCCTGAAAAAATTGGGATTAACTGAAGAAAGTTATCTCTTAACTATCAGGAATACATTAAAGCGTGATACGTTATTTCTTAAAAGATCACCATCAGAAATAAGGATTAACAGTTACAACGCTCACTTACTCCAAGCGTGGAAAGCAAACATGGAGATACAATATGAGTTAGATCCTTATGCATGTGCTACATACACACTGTCGTACATTACAAAAGGCCAGCAAGGTATGAGCAGACTTCTAGAAAAAGTGTCCGAAGAAGCAAAGGCAGGTAATAAAAACATTACAAATAGAGTTCGACATATCAGAAACAAATTTCTCAGTGCAGTTGAAATCAGTGCTCAAGAAGCGGTTTATCTTGTATTACAAATTCCTCTAAGACGATTGTAATGTATTCGTGACCGGAAGTTGTATTAAGCTGTTGTATTACTCAAGATGCTTAGAGAGTAAAGTTGTTGTGTTGAGCAAGCCTCGTGAACTTGTGTTGTTATGTCACCAAGCCATACTTTTGCTAGTATGTTTCATTTTGGCGACGAGGATGGGATACTCTACATGCACTAAGACGCATGAGAAATCCAGTGAAGTTTTGATTCTCTCTGTGTGAGGAAAAAGGTTTGTTTTCGACCAAGGCAACTTGATCAAAGTTTGAGCACGTACTATCAAAATGGCGGGAATTGGCCTGTTTGGTCGTGTTGGCGAGTTTAGCCCTGAGGGAGAGACGTTTCGTTCCTATGTGGAAAGAATGGAAATGTTCTTCATGGCAAATAATATCATGGAAGAAACAGGCGAGGGTAAAGAGGAAGCCAATCTCGCAGTTGCAAATAGAAAACGTGCTATCTTTCTGACTGAGATTGGACCCGAAGCATATTCTACCCTGAGCAATCTGCTGGCACCAGTGAAACCAAAAGACACTCCTTTTGCTGACATTGTCAAAGCATTAGAGGAACATTACAATCCAGCGCCATTGGAGATAGCAAAGAGTTTTCATTTTGGAACTCGCTATCAAAAACAAGACGAATCCATCAGTGACTTTATTGTGGCCTTGAAGAAGTTATCAATTCATTGTAACTATGGGGAGTTTCTCAACCGAGCTCTGAGAAACCGTTTTGTGTGTGGATTGAACAATCCCAAAATACAGAATAAACTTTTGAACACCGAGGATCTTTCTTTTGAGAAAGCGTGCCAGATTGCAAAGTCAATGGTCCGAGATGGCAGAGAAGAACACCCAAGGCATAGTAAATAAACTGGAAACTGTAAACACTAAGGAACCCTCATGTTACCGGTGTGGTGGTAAGCATGCTGCACCTAAGTGTAAATTTAAGTCAGCAAAATGCTACAAACGTAGCAAAGTAGGTCACCTTGGATCAGTTTGTCGCAGTAAAGATGTTGAGTCTAGCATGAAAACAAAACAACCAGGAGCTAAAGGTAATGTTCATAGTGTGTTAGAATCAAACACAGAAGGTTGTGATGATAATGACGAGTTAGGTATCTATTCCGTGTATGCAGTTGGTACAGATAATCCTACCAACAAAAGTTATACTGCAGAAACGACCATAAATGGCTCACCATGTGCAATGGAAGTAGACACTGCAGCTGATTACTCAATAATGAGTAAGAGCACACACTCTCAGAAATTCATTAACTTTCCACTTCGTCCATCAAAAGTTGAATTGAAAACCTATACGGGTGAAATCCTTACAGTGTGGGGTGAAATGCTGTGTGATGTAGTGTACAAGGGCCATGAATATACATTTCCAATTATTGTAGCTGATTATGAGAAGAAGCCTACTTTGCTGGGAAGAAATTGGTTAAACCATATAAGGCTTGAGTGATAAAAGTGTTGACAAGCCTGCACGACTCCTGCCGTTCGCGGATGAATAAGCTATAAAGCCTTCATAGTTTAGCTTTAACTAGGATGTCTTTAGGGACTTTCCCTTGCGATACGAGATGATGGGGGGCTCCTTAAAGATCTCTCTCAGTAGCGGGTGATCATCTATAAGGTGCCATTTCCCCAGAAGTGTGTCTTTTAGGTTAGGCAACGCCGGGTGGTATTGCGTAACAAAGGGCAGTATTTTCTTTTGTGCGGTTTTTGTCTTTCTGTGCTAGTGACATTTTTCTATCAGAGAATTTAATCTCTGAAAGGTGTTTTTCTACAATTCTAGCTGGGTAACCTCTATTCTGCATTCGTGTTTTGAAATTACTCATGTTTTCCTCAAAAGTAAGTTGAGAGGAATTTGTTCTCCGAAGCCTTAACGCTTCTCCTTTGATAAAGCCTTTTGTGACGCCTGGTGGGTGACACGAATAGAAATTCGTGTATTGAAAGGTCTCTGTAGGTTTGAAATGAGTTC